GAATAGCACCAGAATAGTGTCAGATATACTGCCAGAAGATGAGCCCCTCAAGTTGGAAGGCACTCAAAATATTACTAGGGAAGAGCTGCCTCCTCAAAGTAGAGTTGACCGTGATTGCATAAATGGAATAAAATTTTTGGGACCATCATTTGCTGAGAAGGCACAACTCAAAATGAGGAGGAAAATCTGTATATATCCATTAATAATCAGAACATGAAATGTACAAAGTATGATTCCAAGAAAACTGGAAGTTGTAAAATATGGTCTAGAATGCACAAAGATCAATTATACATTAATGAGTTGAAAGGATTCCTGGTATGGACCTGTAGGATAAGCACTTGATTGTTTCCCTCATGGTAGGTGATTCAAACCCACCAGGTTGATCCTTGAAATTGTACACAGGGTGGCTAAGAGTCAGAATCAACTCAACGGCACTTAGCAACAACAACAACATGAGTTGAAATGGACTGATATTAACCATTTTGAATTGGACAATCATATGGTTTGCTATGCTGGAAATGATAAATTGAGGAAGAGTGGTGTCACATTCATTGTCAAAAAGAACATTTCAAGATTTATCTTGAAGTACAATGTTGTCTGTGATAGGATAATATTCATACACCTACAAGGAAGACCAGTTAATACCACTATTTTTCAAGTGTACACACCAACCACTGAACTGAAGTCAGTGATGATGAAACTGAAGAATTCTACCAACTTTTTTGGTCTGAAATGAATCAAACATGCAATCAAGATGCACTGATATTTACTGTGGTTGTAATGAGAAAGTAGGAAACAAAAAAGAAGGAATCGTAGTTGGAAAATATGGTCTTGGTGACAGAAATGTTTCTGGAAATAGTATATAGAATTTTGTAAGACCAACAACTTCTTCATTGCAAATACCTTTTTCAACATAAAAAGCAAATATACATACATCTCACCAGATGAAATTTACTATATTTGTGGGAACAGAGGATGGAGAAGCTTAATATCATCAGCCTAAACAAGAAAAATATCATAAATATCCAAAGTGAGTAAGGTTTTACTAAAGACAGTACAAAAATGACTGTGACCATAAGTTGACAAGAGAACTTCCAGAGGTTCAAGCCAGATTCAGAAAAGGACGTGGAACAAGGGATATCATTGCTGATGTCAGATTAATTTTGGCTGAAAGCAGAGAATACTAGAAAGATGGTAACTGTGTTTTATTGACTACACAAAGGCTTTCAATTGTGTGGATCATGACAAGCTATGAAGTATGAGTATTTTGGGAACAGTTAATTGTGCTCATCAGGAACCTGAACATAGACCAAGAGGCAGTTGTCCAAACAGAACAAGAGAACACCAAATGATTTAAAATTAGGAGAGATATGAGCCAGAAATGTATTCTTTCACCACACCTATTCAATCTGTATGCTGGGCAAATAATCTGATAATCTGGATTATATGAAGAAAAATATGGCATTGGGATTGGAAGAAGACTCATTAACAACCTGCGATATGCAGATGATACAACCTTGCTTGCTGAAAGTGAAGAGGACTTAAAATACTTACTGATGAAGATCAAAGACCACAGCCTCTGGTATGGGTTGCATTTCAACGTAAGAAAACAAAAATCGTCATCACTGAACCAATAAATAACATCCATATAAACGAAGAAAATATTGAAGTTATCAAGGACTTCATTCTTCTTGGATCAACTATCAACACTCATGAAAACAGCATTCAAGAAATCAAAAGACATATTGCATTAGGCAAATCTGCTGCACAAGTGCAAGTGTTGAAGAGAAGAGATGTCAGTTTATGGTGTGCCTGATGCAAGCCATGGTATTTTCAATAACCTCGTATGCATGTGAAAGTTGGATAGTGGATAAGTAAGACCACAGAAGAATTGATGCATTTGTGTTATGGTTTTGGAGGAGAATATTCAAAGTACCATGGACTGCCAAAAGAAACAGATCTGTGTTGGAAAAAGTACAGCCAGAATGCTCCTTGGAAGGCAGGATGACCAGATTTCATCTCTCATATTTTGGACATATTATCAGGAAGGACCAGTCGCTGGAGAAGGATATCAAGTTTGGTAAAGTGAAGGGTCAGAGAAAAAGAGAAAGATCACCAACAAGATGAATTGGCACAGTGACAGAGCAATGGACTCAGTCGTAGCAACAATTGTGAGGTTGGTCCAGGACCGGGTAGTT